CATACTATTGCCAGGACAAATCATCCTCTTATTCCCAGAGACTGATTACGAGCTATTTTCCCTGCTGAATCTTTCTCTTGTTCTATTTTCTCGATACATTGTGAACTCATTGCCCTGGGACACATTGGTACGCTTCTTTGAGTCCGTAGGTCCTAAATCGTGTGCTCCTCTTCTGACAACACCTTCCCCATTGCTCAGAGTCTGGGTTTTTAAATGGCTTCATCTTTTCTCCTTCTCTTTGTACCACTTCAGCCAGTTTCAAGCAGAATTCTTAGACATCGTCTATTTTTAATTCCAAGATAAGAAAGGAGGTTGCAGAGGAGAGAAATGTCTCACCCAGAAGATCAAAGTGTGTCCTTTGGTGTAATCAGTAGATGTGAACCCTACCAAGTTTACCCCAGTTCCTAAATCACAACAGAAAGCGACCGACAAAGTTCACAAGATAGGTTGGCAATTTGGAGAAAAGATTTTAACCCAGTTAAGAGCCAGGGGTAAAGTACACCTTTCCTTTCTAAAAATAGAAAGTGTGCTCAGCCTTTGAAAGCCACAAGGTAGCAAATGGACAGAGAGATGGCTGCTGGGAGCAACCACCGTGGAGACAACGTCCTTTATAAAAGCCTAATGCTTGTCATAAACTATAATTAAACAAACAACAGAACTGTTGCCATGGCAGATTCTGTCACTCATTACTTTCAAAGTCAAAACCACAATGCAAGGTCTGATCACCCCTCAGCCCCCCCTCCCAGGTCATGTGTGCTAGTTTGTCTCTATGTATATTTACACATCTTAAGTGATAGGTCAAAGTTTTAAATAATTTTACGGTTAATATCATTTCTTAAAAGGTTGAGGTTTCCTATTGAGCTGTCAAAAAAAATTGTGAAAACTTCCGAGTTTAATACTGAAATTTTCTCTGCAAGCTAGGCTGCTGAGACAAGTTCTGTGAAGTATGTATTTTCCTTAAAGGGGACAATGTGATAATGTTGGGATAATGTCTAGGAGACTCTCAGTGGCTTTGTACCCTAGCAAAACATGGGACGCAGGCTATTACATCATTGGAAGGGATTGTCCAAACTATGACATTGTCACGTAAAAGAATTGCCTCTTTATTTTGGACAAGATGGTCACAACTATGACTTGCTTCAAATTCCATAACACATCTCCCGAAGAACTCACCCCAAAGCAAAAATCAAATGCATATATCCATTATGAGATGACTCATCCATAGAGTCTCCCTTAAAGGACGCATCGTCATCCTGAGAGAGAGTCCTCCCTGTGGCCGTTGAGTGGTCTACTCTTTGCTCTTGAGTGTTATTCTGAGTGCCACCTCTTGCCTGTTAAACTGTCACAAAATGCAAATGGAGCCATCATCTCCAACTTTGTGGGACACTTCACAGGGTCCGCTGAGGGTATGAGTTCCTATGAGAGAAGCCGGCGCAATTCTCGTTTGCCCAGCGCGGTCCTCGAGGGCTGCCAGTCCGGTCCGAAAATACCGTTTATGCTTGGTGTCAATACAGGTTCCTCACAGGCCTTTCCTGAGAGCTAGAGGAGCTTGGAATGGCCAGCCAGCAGCGCCGGGGCTCCTTGCTTCAAGGTTTGCAGCTGTTGCTCACTGGCTGTAATGGTGAGAACTTGGAAACAAAGGACATGGCATGACCACCTGGCCCGTCACTATACCTGAGAGTGCACACGGCATACTACGTCAATACGCTGCTATGGCTCACTCTCAGACCAGACTTCTGATAGCAACAGAAGGGTGGGAAGGGAGGCAAGTTACTAGGTTTTTGGTTCCCTTTCTTTTGTTTTTTTTGTTTGTTTTTTGTTTTTGTTTTTTTTTTTTGTTTTGTTTTTGTTTTTTTTTCGAGACAGGGTTTCTCTGTGGTTTTTTTTTTGGAGCCTGTCCTGGAACTAGCTCTTGTAGACCAGGCTGGTCTCGAACTCAGAGATCCGCCTGCCTCTGCCTCCCAAGTGCTGGGATTAAAGGCGTGCGCCACCACCGCCCGGCTTGGTTCCCTTTCTTTAGATCACTAAATTATTTTGGAGGCAGGGACAGTAGAGAGAGATCCTGATGGAAGCCTGGTCACACAGTCCCAACTTCAACCTCCTTAGAGGTCTGGTTCTCCAGCTCTGGAACCTCTAAAATCCCAGAAATCTCATTTCCCGGTTTGGATGGTCAACTGGATGTCACCTGTCAAGCCCCGTGTTAACTCTGCATTTTTAGTAATACTTTCTTAATTTCCAAAAGCTTTTTACATCTGATAGCTCCTTTTTATAGTGTACTCTTTTTTTTTATTATTTTATGGAAGCAATAGTTCTCGGTGCCTCCCTGTGGATATTTGTGTATTTTTAGGAGGATTGCCATCTGCTCCCTGCATGGTCTTTATTTACTCTATTTGTTGCTGCTGTTTTATTTTATCTTGCTTTGGCTTCCTTTCTCCTTGTAAATGTCTAGTGTTTCAAATGTCTAACCGTATTCATATCAGAGTCATGCTCTATGCATGAGTAGGATGTGAGCCTCTAGCTTCCTAAGACTTGTCAGTCAGCTGAAATTTCCATCTAGAAAGCCCCTATTAGACAGCACAGGGTGATTTGCTCCCTAGGCGCTCAATGGGGCACACACCGGCTTTCCATCACCATTGTTTAAATGTCCACCTCTCTATTAAGTAACGTCTTTCATCTGTGTTACCTCTGTATTCGTAATAAAAAGATGTCTTCTAGGTTAACTCAAAAATTAAATCTGAGTTTTTGCCTTGTTCTTTTTGAAGTTTAGGCATTGTTTCGGAGGAAGTGTGGCCCATGTCTGTGACCCAGCCCTGGGGAGATTAAAGTAGGAAAGTCATGACTTTCGGGATAGGTTGGGCTACAGAGTAAGTTCAAGGCTAGCCTAAACTGGGGTTGAGGGGATGGTGAGTTAGAGAGGGAGAGTGGTGGGGGTGTGAAGATAGAAGGACAGAGGAAAGGAACAAGGGAGGGAGAGAGGGGACTGAATCTCACCCTAGTACTGGTTCTCAAAGAAGTATTGAGAGAGGGGACGATTTAGGACTGTGGATACAGAATCATGCTGTCTTTCTATTCTCTCAACTGCTAAACTGTGGGTTGGTGTGAAGCAACATCACAAATGGAATATAATAGAGAGATTATTATTATTGGACCAAGTCATCGGCTGAGCCCTTCTACATGGGAGAGGAGGGCAGAATGATGTGGCAGAGGAGAAGACAAGGGAGTGAGGTGCAGGAGGTCAGAGAAAGGCCACCATGGGGACTTAATCCACTGCTGTCTGTGAAGGCCAAGGGAGCAGCCAAGAGACGTCCTCTAGGTGACGACAGCACCCGTGGCGAGGGAGCAGGCACCTCCCTCCTCTTGTCACTCTGGAGCTGAGTTCTTCCAGCCCCTTAAGTGAGTCTGTCTTAGGCTTGCTATTGCTGTGATAAAACGCCATGAGCAAAGCAGCGTGGGGAGGAAGGGGTTTATTTGGCTTACTCTTCCATATCACAGTTCATCATCAAAGGAAGTCAGCATAGGAACTCAAACAGGGCAGGAACTGATGCAGAGGAGCTGATGCAGAGGTTATAACGAAATGCTGCTTACTGCCTCCATTCCCATGGCTTGCTCGGCTCACTCTCTTATAGAACCGAAGACTGCCAGCTTAGGGGTGGCCGCACCCACAATGCGCTAGGCCCTCCAACATCGATCACTAATTAAGAAAATGCCCTACAAGTTTGCCTATGGTCCAGTTTTATGGAGGCTCAATTGAAAGTTCCCTCCTCCCAGATGACTATAAGCTTGTGTCAAGTTGACATAAAACTAGCCAGCACAGAGAGTAAAACAAATTCTTCCTTGGGGACTCCAGACCAGAGCTCTGGCTAGTAGCCTGAAGTTAGCTTGACAATACCCAATCCAGTGCTTATGTAAGCCCCCTGAACTTGCAGAGGATAAAAGGTGTTTTTTTTTCTTTCTTTCTTTCCTGTTTTATTAAGTGACTGAAATTAAGGTAATTTTTATGGCAATAACATAGAAAGTACATGGGGTACTGCTTGCACTCCATGTTTGGGGGCAGAAGGAAAGATGGGAGAGGGGAAGGTTGAGAACCTTCACTGTGCACTAAAGGGACAATTCTTGGGCATCATCAGAAGACTTCAGAGAAGAAGAATGGGGTCATCAAACTACTCAGTGTTGTGAATCCCGCTTTGAGTTAAAACGGGAATTCTTACCGAAGGGAGAGAGGCTGTCTCACTGTACATTTGAGATTTGTCAATGGTTCTGTCCCAGCTTGAGTGGAAAGGCTCAAGGCTTCTGCACTTGTCTCCCAGCTGGTGGTGCTGTTTGGAGGTTGTGGAGTCTTTCGCACGGGACCTAACTGGCAGACATAGTTCCATGGAGGCCGAGCTTAGGTTGTTAGCCTGGTTCTGCCCGGTATCTTTGCGTGCTGATCTGTAAGATGTAGCAGGCCACCCTGCAAGTTTCCACTGTAAGAATCCTCCAGCCTTTTGGTATGATTTCCCTGCAAGGATGGCCTTAATCTTCTGGACTATGGGTTACAGTAGACTTCGCCCTTCTTCCGAGGCTTCTGCCAGGTATGCATGTGTTACAAAAACAAGAAAAGGACCCAACTGCTGTTTTCCCAGACTGATTCTGGGTTTCCTTCTGCACGGGATTAGACTTGACAGAGGACACCCCAGCAATCCTGTGCCAAGCACAGCTGGGAGGGCATGTGTGCACAGGACTTGCATTTCTGAGGTGCTGCTGATGTCCTGAAGGGAGGGCTGTGGCTAGGGACACGGAGGGCTGTGGCTAGGGACACGGAGGGCTGTGGCTAGGGACACGGAGGGCTGTGGCTAGGGACACGGAGGGCTGTGGCTAGGGACACGGAGGGCTGTGGCTAGGGACACGGAGGGCTGTGGCAGGGACACGGAGGGCTGTGGCTGTGTGAATAGGGACGGGGAGGGCTGTTGCAGCTGAGTTTTTCTGTTCCATTGTCCAGCTCTGGCTGAGCCCAGACTCAAGGTTCTTCTCCATTAGCTTCTCAAGCACAGGACTACAAGCCGAAGCCACTATGCCTGTATTTATTATAAACTCTTTAGAAGCAACTGTCTTTAATTTATTTGCATGTAAATGTTGATCAACTAAAAAGTGACATAAAAATATAAAATGTAATCCACATTACCTCACCTCTCATTGCCCTCTGTTTTTCTCAAGCCTTTGCCAGGCTTACACCACTATCAGAAAGAAAGAGAAATTCCAGACTCATCCACAGGCACCAGCAGACTGGAGAAGGAAGATGTGCCGCAAGCATATTAATTCCTTGTCTCTTATGCTGTCTCAGAAGTGGAAAAAAAAATCCTTGTTGTAGTTGAGTGGGTGGTGGCAGCTCGCTTCTCCACATCTAATTTCATAAATATGTGTTGCAATTAGCTTTTGCAGATGGAATAGCTAAATCCTGATTCAATTTTCTATTTTAGAAGGGCCATTAATCTGGAAAACAAATAAAGATAAATTAATTATTAATGCCTAATCCATACTTTCTCAAAATGAAACTTATAACACTCATATAGCCTTAAATAGAAACCGCGAGCCCCCAAACTTCTGTTTTCTCTTTGGCTGAGCTTATCCTGCCGTGCACATCTCTAGGGGGTCCACGCCAAACACAGAGTATTTGCTTTCTGTCTCTTTTGTTTTAAAGCTGAGGGCAGTCAGATCGTTCCTAAGCAGTCTGACCGTAGAAACAATTTTTTTTTCCGCCAAGCACTATTTATAGGAAGAACTTGGACAGTAATTTTAGAAACCAAAGAATAATCAAAACTCATTTACTAGGACTGTTGAGGGGACAAGTCATTCCAGTTAACTAGATTTTCTGGTTAGCTAGAAATAAACCTAATATCCATAGTTCAACACTTCCATAACAAATCTTTTCAAAGTGCTTTAGCTTCTATCCTGCCTTGGGAAGTAGAGAGTGGTGAATATCACTGAGTACTAGATAGCCAAAGTTTCTGCAGTGTACATAAACACTCTGTGCTTCAGGGTGGGCTTCAAGGGTCTGGGAGATCGTGTCGACTGACAATCAGTTGAACATGCAATCTGGAAGCAGGCTTCTCATTTCTGTCTGAGAACCTCTGTTTTAGTCTACTTTTCTCTTGAAATCAAGGCTAACAAACAGTCCTACTAATCAAGGGTTCTAATTTAACTGGGCGAAATCAACCTTTTCTCTGCATAATAAGGTTTCTTAGGCTAAATTTCAAAGGGTATGGGTGGAAAAGCTCACTTACAGATGTATGATATGGCAGTGGTTTTAAGAAAATTTTAACCAGGAAAAAGTGATTCACACCTGTAATCCTAGAGAGGGCAGGGGAGGGTAGGAAGATTATGAGTTCAGAGCTAGCTTGTGCTATCTAGTGAGAACCAGAGATCATATGGGACCTTGTTACAAAAAGGAGCTAAGGTTTACCTGGGAACTTTCAAAGTCTCACAGTTTAACAGTTTGTACACAGGTGATATTAAAGCATTCCATTGTTTTACGCATGTGGTTTCTCTTCAACTTCCTTTTACTGAAGTGAAAGGGTCCAGCACTATCCTAATCCAAACAGCTGCCATCTTCACAACCACAGCTGGGCTTGCAGAGTGTTGAGGAGGGGGTAAGGATTAGCCAGCCTTTCTTCCAGCCAGTTGTTTACATTTTTCCTGAATCCTCGTGGTCTTGGGGAGTATACAGGCTGGGAAAGACTGCTGGGCAGCAGCTATGTGAAGACTCTCTCGTGTACTTTTGAGCAACCACCCTGCTGTCAGAATTCCCTCACCCATCTCAATAAGTCAGCCCAATAAATTCATTGGCTCTCTGGTATGAACTTTGATGACTTTGAACTCTGGCTTGCCACTGGGACCTTATGAGGAGGGACTAGGCGTTGTTTGGTTCCTGCCTTACCCACCCCGACCCTTCACTCACTGAATGAAAACACAAGAAATAAAGAGGAAAGGGAAGAACATGACGGCTCCTAGGTGTGGCGGAGGAGAAAGCTTATTGTAGATATGTGGGCAACCATAGCCAGAGGCAGGCACATCTGGGAGAGACCAGAGTGGACCTGACCAGACAGAACTGTGCCACTGAGGGAGAGGGGGAGAGGAAGAAATAGGGGAGAGAGATGAACCAGGTGCAGGAGCCAGGAGTTCAAAGGTCCAAAAAGGGCAGGTAACCAAAGGCTCTTCCCTATATAATCCAGACATTTTGGTTACAGTGCTTGGGCTGGAGAGTTCAGGGCAGAGAATGGATATGCAAGCTATACTCTGTAACAGGTAGGGACTGAGGGATGCTGGGAGAACTACACTCACCACCTGCCCTACGACAACTCCTCGCTCACCACCTCCACTGGGGAGAAACCCTCACAACAGATAGTAAATTTGCTTGTTAATGCTATTATGTCTCCTGGCATAAAGAAGGTAAAACATTAGCAGGATGTAAACATAGAAATTGTTTTAGAAAAGAGGGATTTATATAAGAAGATTAAGATGGGTGAGTGTTTCCAGAATGAAAAAGAAGACTAGAAAGCTTTTGCAAGTTCTGGAGATCTGAGCGAGTTATTTAAGGTAAATAGAAGGGAGGCTTAGCGATTGCATGTACCGTATTACAGTTTATAAGGTCAAAACCCAACAATTACAAGGACTGGCTAAAATGCATGTCTAATCAAAATTTATTTCGAAAAGCCCAGTTATGGAAATAGTGTACAGTAGTTAAAAGTACCAGACTGCTTATACTGGTCTTTTGGGGTGTTTCATAACTCTACTTTTCCAAAGAAAACTTGAGGCCCCGCTGGATACAGGTATGAAGAATATAAGCTATTGGAAGAAAGAGAAGCAATTGCTCCAGTAGTCGCAATGGAACCTGACTTGTTTGCCACATACTGCTCTCAGTTTAAGTCATTTGTCCTCTGAATAATTTTGTTTATCAAATGAGGACCCGGGAGCATAAATTAATAACTTGTCAAGACAGCAGATAGCTCATAAATGGCAGTGATAGAGCATGAGCCTAGGCATTCCTGTAGAGTACAGAAACACCCTTCATGATTTGCCTTCCAACAAGGATGTGGTAGCATGTCGTTCTGCCGGAAACACCCTGCGTCGTGATGACAGAAGAAGGAAGGGTGGCATCTGCTAGGACTTCTGCAGCAGGCCATGATAAGGAAAACAAAACAAAACAAACAAACAAACAAAAAAACCAACGTCAAAGGTACAGTCAATAACAACATTTTTATAAAAACGATTTTTGGTTGTTTTATTATTTTTTGTATGTGTGTGTGTATTTTGTATGCATGTATGCTGTGCACCACACGCATGTCTGATAGCCTCAGAGGAGAACACTGTGGCTGGAGTCACAGATGGTTGTGAGCCACCATGTGGGTGCTAGGAATTAAAGCTGGTTTTTCTGGAAAAGCAACAAGTACTCTTAACCTCTGAGCCATCTCTCCATTACTAACAATGCTTAATATTAATAAAAGGAATGATAAATCAGGCCTTTGTTGGGAATTTTATACAAAAGAAAACTACTCCTGGCATCAATAATTTTGGTTAAATAAATGAATAAAACAAAAAGTAAAAATCCCCTATAATATATAGAAAATTGGTCAAGAATTCAAATTATCACAATGGTATTTGCTTTGGAAAATAAGTACAAGCCTTTTTTCAAGACAGAAATTTTCTAATGTGGATGTCATCTGATGAGAATATTTATACATATTGAGACCCTGAGAATGAAATAAAACATCGCAGAGCACAGTTGAAATTGTCAGCTGCCAATCCGGAATCCATTCTCTCTGTTTTGTTCAAATACCCACAGCTAATAACCCATGTGCCCCCACAGTTTTCATCAATTTGGTTTATATTAACATTCAGTAGAATTTTGGTCGAGTCTCAAACTTAATTTGACACGCAGGCTTTGAAACAGTTGATGAATATTGATTATTTTGTTCATCGTCTGGGACTTGTTTCAACTTGGTTAGAAGCTGTGAGCTTTCATTCAAGAAAACTCCATCCTTGATTTCAATGAACGTGTGTTCAATCAGGAAAACAGAGACACACGAAGGCATTGAACATGCTGGAGACTATATCATAGGAAATCATAACATCGCAGGAATTAGGGGTTTGGGAAGCCTGCAAGTATCAGTGCTTGGAATTATCCTGAAAATCAGGGACTATTTCTAGAAAAGAAACAGAGGAGGATATAAAGACTAAAAAGAAAAACAAGGCCTGAATCAAAGGATTCTGCCCTTGTGCGCTCCCAACGGTATGATGCCAACAGCACCTTTCTCCTTGTGTTATACTTAAGTAGACATTGTCTCTCCTATTAGATCCATTTTGATGGTAAGTATTATGTCTTACTTGTCTTTGAAAACCTAGCACTTATCACAATACCTGTTCCATAATGGGTACTCAATAAATATTTGATAAATGGATGTAAGGTTGAAGGAATGAATAAAGAAAGAAGAAGCCCAAAGGACCTTGTGAGGCAACACGTTTGGTTGCACATGGGCCTAACACAAGACAATCACCTGTCAGTCTACACCAGATTTAACTCCACTGATCATGGAGAGGCATGGTGGATTTCCGTCAGGAAAATCACAAAGAGTTGCAGCGACACTGATAACAAAAACATAATCCTGTGCTGGCTGCCCTAAATGCTTTAGACATCTTAACTATTTCAGAGATCATTCTTAGCTCTCCCGAGAATCCAACAAGTGGACAGGACACGCTCTTACACTACAGTCTCTGAAACAGAAGAACGCAGATTTGTCGTTGTGTAACTTAGGGAGAAATTTAACAACAAAAACAGACGCATTTTCTTATCATCCTTCCCAGCCTGGAACCTACCCTAGGACAAACGGCAAAGAACGGCCCTGAACAAAGTGAAATTAATGTTCTGGCCGTTACAGCACGATCAAATCTGACTCCACGTAGTTCATTATTCTCAATCAGATAATTCAGAAGTGTGTGCTTTCCCAAGATAAACTCAGAAGGGAATTTTCTGTTCTCTATCTGACCTTATTTAATTTATCTGAGTATCTGCATTGATTGTTGGACAAATAATAACGTCTACCGTTGGGTGTTCATGGTCAGCCCACAATTTCTTCCCATCTTCAGCAAAACAGCTCACATGAATTACTTTTATCTTGCTTTGGCAGCAGAAATAACAGAGTGTTCATTTGCTATTCAATAGCTATTATTTGTATCTTGGTGCAGACTGCTTAAGAATTCAGTCTACATTTTCTGGTACCCTGAAATAATATCATCTGTGGCTATAATAATAATGTCGTCTTCTTTTGATCAAAATATTACTTCAAAATATTTTGTGGTCCACTGCCCACTTATCTGCTTTATCTAAAAGTGTGTGTGTGTGTGTGTGTGTGTGTGTGTGTGTGTGTGTGTGTTGGGGCAGCTCATAGAAAATTTGAAATTTTGGTGTCTATTGTTGAAGTACCAAGAGCAATAAA